TTTGGGGTAATGTTTTGTGGAAAACTATGTCAGTGTCTAAGAACAAGCAATTAAACTTTTTACTTCCAAGACTGGGGAAAAAAAAACAAAACAAAACAAAACACAAACCCTATCTCTCCATACCTGAAGTACCTTACAAAAAGCCATTTACGCATGCACCCATTTCCTCACATACTACTTAAGAAGCACCCATACTTTGAATAGCACAATTAAAAAAACATGCAATGCCTCAAAAAGAAAGTGATTATGTTGAATGCACATTCCCAAATCATTCTACTTATGCATAGACTATCACAAAAAAATAAAAAATACTTTAATTCCAAGTTTTTAAACAACATCTGGAACTAGTATCATAAACAAGCCCCTTTATTTTTGATCAGTGTATCGGAATCAATGACAAGATGTCATCGAAATGGGTAAGATGTACACTGCGTACTTAAACCAAAAGATCAAACATGCTAACTGCATTACCTCCTCTTTCCTGCTACATATCCAACATCCTCCAGGGACTGACAGCTGAAATGTATTTTACAAAAGTGTCAGCTACAAAAACACTACCACAACTTATTCTATCTTCCACGAGTACCTTCAGATCATTATTTGTGAGTAAAATCAAGTACATACATGTCTTAAGAACTGCAGTCTTGAACTGACCAACCAAGCTGACTGCCTGAAACTGAGCCAGAAGTTACACATGAAGAACAGATGGCAATCAAGGCAGTCAGATCTCCATTATAATAAGGATCTCATTATCCATTCTTGTTTCACATTGAGAGGAATACAGGTACAGTTGAGGCAATTAATGTCACTGCCAACTTAGGAAGGCAGTCTATTGCAGTAGTCTGAAGAGCTAACATTAAATGAAGAATGAATTAATTGCATTAATTATCCTAAGTTTCTCAGGCAACTGTTAAGAAACAGGTGCTTACAAAGGCCGTTTCCTAAACCAGACAAAAATCCTCCTACTCCCACTCACTCCAGGCTTAGGTAACAGGGATTTTCTTTGTCATTGCTTATGCTAACATTCCTTTATTTTGTCGTATCTCAAAGACAACCTAATACTATCTCTCTGCTACCATGCATAACTTTAAACCTATGTTTTCCAATTAGAACATTTCATGCTTAAGAAAGCAATTTTCATGGCATGCATAAGAAATACACCAAGTTTTTTTTTTCAAAAATACTCATTCTAAAAAATAGAAGCTTAAATCTACACAGCAACCCTAAGCATCTAGTGGAAGTTAACTGACATTAACAATTTAAGCATCCTTCTTGATACAGGATGAGGTAAGGCCTTGAAATAATAAGGACAATAAGGTTAATTGACAGACTATCTATTTTTCTTCATGCAGAAGGACTAGTAAATACTACCTGAGGCTAAACTGCAAGAGCCTAAGACTCACATCGCTTTTAGATTTTTTTATCATTACTAAAGTAGTGATAGAAACAAACAAGTATGATATGTCAACAGATCCACTGGTCTTTTTATTGATATAACATCCTAAAAAATATTTAAATTTTCATTATTTCAGATGCTCTGCAATCAAATATTACATACATACACACCCTACAAAAGAACAGTGGAGGGGTAATTTCTAAAATACTTTTTATAAAAATTACATAGGTTGAATAACAAAAAGAGTTTTCACTCAAAGCCAAAGTTTAGGAAGTTCCTTCAAATGAAGATAGGCGAGTCTGTACATATTTGCTTTTAAACATATACATCATTGCCTAGTTTAGGCATTAGAATTATTAACTCCTTGATATTAGTATTTTAGCTCAGTAAATGACCATGAACTTCCTAGCACCATGTGGAATTACTTGTAAAAACCACAATACGTAGACTTGAGTGAAAAAAATCAGCTTTTTTCTTTTGCTTAGAGCATGTTATGTTCCTAGTTTCATGCACTGCAAGTATCATGAAGTCATGCACAGGATTATCTTTTAGCTGTTCACACACCACATGTAGAAGTCATGCAACAACATACTGCATCTGCCCATTCTCTCAGTACAAACTGTTCACACAAGCAAACATACACCTTTTCAGAAAGGCATGACTTTGTAATCATTAGTGAAATATTTAAGATTTGTACAGCAAGCAAGATACAAAATTATCAATCCAGTTACATGACATAATTCTTTTGAAGTATTTCTAGCAACAGATTTACAAGGAAGCATGTAAGCACACTGGAATAATTTGGTTTTATTACCATTGATATGTATAACACAGCTAGTACTGACAACTGACTATTGGCAAGTTAACAGGCGGTAATAAATGGGGTGTAGGGAATGAATATTTTAAATGAGCACATTATTAAAGAGCTAACAAGAAAGTGAAGGTGAGGAAGGTTTAAAAAGTTAGTATGTTTCAGTCACACAAACTTCAGCTGTCAAGTAGGTGGACTGCACAGCACTACAAACTTAATGACAAACTGAAGTAGGTGCTCAGAAACAGTACATGCTAGAAAACTGCCACAGAAAAAAACAAGCAAGCAAGGGTATTAAGAGCTAATTCCCTATTCAGCAATTTATGCCTCTGCATATTTCCTTTTAACACACAAATAGCCACTTAAGCAAAGGAAAGTCATTACAAATACATTAAGTATTCTGTGCATCTTTTAATCTTTAAGGTGCTTCATACATTAATGTATCTAGCATTACTAATTAATAATGTTGTGTATTCAACACTGAGTAATAATTTTTAAATTAGGCAACTTGAGTATTCACGGCCAAATAGAAGTTCTTTTGTTGCACATAATAAGGATCTGACATGGACAGAAACAAACACACAGCCACCCTGCTAGAAATGGTTTGCATTTGGAATCAAACCACATTTCATTACAGTAGCTTTGAAGTACTCTTGGAAGCAGAAATTAACTAAAGTACTAGAGAGTCTCCAGTTGTGACAAACTATTATTTTAACAACCCTCTTCATCAAACTCAGCATGCACACAGCAGCATTTGATACAAAAACAAACCTCTGCAGAAAGAGTTCAACTTTCTTGGAAGCTCGATTTAAATATGAATTCAGACTTTTACAGGTTTTATAAACTAAAAATCAGATATATGGAGTAGCTTTATACTTGATCAACAATCAATATAACCAAGAATGAAATACATAAACAAACATAAGACCAGAGTGGCACTGTGATAAATTCTTACATTCCAATTTAATCAGAGAAGACCTAATAAACCTTGACAGAACAGAAAATCTCAGAGATGGGGAAAGGAAGAATAATCAGAGTACATCTATCAGGGCAAGGGAAAAGTCTTCCACTGAAAAAGTGATACTTTTGTGTAAAATTTAAGTGTAAAAACAGAATGTTAATTGTTTGGCTAGAAACCAGTAATTAATTCCTACAGGTAGAATGCCTTTTTGATTTATCAGAGCCCTAGGAAAATGGTGAAAATAAAATTCAAAACTAGTGTGAATAAGTACAGTAATTCTATTTTATGTATTATTAACTGCGCATTTGCAGGAGACAGATTGGAATATATAAAAGCAGATATAACAGTTATCTAGAGAGCAGCAAAACATTTTCAGAAACTACACAGATTATTCCCCACACACCCCCTTTGTAAACAGCAACAGGACTTCCTGTTAAGATGATTACTTTTAAGGGTAAAGAAGGGGCTAACCAAAAGTGCATCAGAATACAAGCCGTAAGCAAGTGCATATAATTTCCTTACTAGAAACTGAGGGCAGCAAATCTGTAATGGCTGACCTTGCTCATGACACTAACTAGCTGTTGATGGACCAGAACTGTAATGTGCTGTGGATTTGCCTGTACTCTGAAAGGATTACAAACATAACTACAAGGGTAAAAACATTGTGTTTCCCCATGCTATTAATACCACATTCAACAAAAAGAGTACCAAGTGGAACACAGAACTGTTATGAAAGAATTAAGCAATTAACTCACAGGATGAAATAAAAAACTGAGGGGAAGAAAAAAAAAGTGAGCTTACATCTATATGTAATCTTACCCGTGAATCTCAGTACATTTAAACAAAATTAAGGCTCACCATCACTGTTAAACTGGATGTTCCACTGACTTGCACACAAGATTAACAAGTACCCCAGCACACCAGAATTTCTATTTCCATTTAGGTTTGGAAGGACCTTAACACTCACCTCAAGACTACAGCAATTCAGAGGATGGGGGTGGGGGGTGAGGACAGACAAAACAAACAAATGAAAATAAACAAAAAAAATGCCCAGAAAACAAAAAACACAAATGTAGACAACAAACAAAAAAAACAAACCCAAAACTACCATTACCATCCCAAAAACAATAAAAAAAACCTACCAGCATACAATGGAGAAACATGGGGAAATTATACTAAGCTTTTCTATATCATTGAATCCCTTCCCATCAAATGTTTTCCAAAGAAAATGGTATAGAGATGCAATCTTTTTTCAAAGTTAGTAATGAACAATAAAAGCATTCAAAGTGAAAAAACAATTGTTCTTATACTTCATTCTGTACATTTCTATGGTATTACTTTTACTACTTTGTCAACTTAAAAGACAAATGTTCCATGGTAAGCAACCTATAGCAGAAAGGCAGGTCTTTAGAATAAGAACTATACCTGAACGAGTCTCAAAGAAGAGAGTCTAGCTTCTGGATTTCAGCAATGAAACAGTAAAGAAGTGAACATGCATCAGGTATGACAAAAAACTAATGGTTGATTAATAAAAAGAAGAAATTAAAGACACATGAACAAAACTAAGTTAAAGCAGTATGAACTATCATTCTCTTAAGTATACACACAGAACAGCTACTTGAATTTCTAGCAAAAAAAAAAAATCACAGTAGGTTACAATATACACATGCCAAGAGCAGAGAGCATCATACTGCACAATTAGAACAACCAACTAGAAACTACATGCTAAGCATGCTAAAAAGCACCTCCTACAAGCTTAACAGAAACAGGAGACTTTTCAATTCAAGCCTACCATGCTGTTACTTTGGCCAGAAAAAGCTGAATTTGCTTACCTCCTGTAAAAGATCTGCCTGTTCAATGGCTTTGAGAACATTTTTCTTGGAAGTCTCCTGAACTTCCCCTCCTAAAAGGAACTCATCCAGAATGAAATAGGCTTTTTCAAAATTGAAGATGATATCAAGTTCACATACCTAAAAAGAACACCAAGCATTAATAGAAAGTAGGAGGATACTATTTATTGAGGTATATCCTCTCACAATACTTGTTCACAGCTTCGCCAAACCAAGATGTTAGCCTCAGGCTGTAATTTTTTAAGAAACGGGCAACAACAACAAAAACAAGCAAACAAAAAAAAAAATCAATCCCTTGGAAAAAAATATTTTTTTTTGCTTAAGTAGAGTTACAGCAAACTCTCTGCAAAACATTTTCATTGTTGAAAAGGATTCAATTCATAACTGTCAATATAACGTGGCTCTTCATGAAACAAGAGAACATTCCTACATAGAGTTCTCTTCTTGCCTGTGGTATCCAAAGGCAGAACGCAAAATCTTACATAAAACATTAAATCACAATCATCTCAAATTTCTTATTCATTCTGTGCACCTCCCTTGGAAAGTAGAAGGATGAGCAACAGTTTTTCTGAGTGCTAATGTACATTACTGCAGTTTTTTGTTTGCTATCTTGATAAGCAGATGTCTGCCACTTCTTTGCCCACTGCTCCTGTTAGTTCACAACCAACTGCTTCCTTTGGGAGCAGATAAAATGCTTACACACTAGCAGCGTCAAGGACAAGGAAGTCTGGGTGACTAGCCAGAAAGCTAAATACAAGATTTTGCCTGACCTCAAGCAAGGCTATTACAAAAATGAAACAAATACAAGGCAATTAACTCCGGATTCATAACAGTTCTCTCAAATTACTGGTATTTTGTATTTTAACAGTCATATAGGCAACCATTAGTTTAGTTAGGCCAAGCAAGCAACATGTGTCAGATGTACCTCTAAAAAACATAATCAGCTAGCTGTTGAAAGAGCTGCGGGCATAAAAAAAAAAGAAGTTCTGTAATATGAAGACGCTAACTTACACTGCCAAAATACTTGTCAAGAAGTTCTACATAGCGATGAATTATTTCTAGAGTTATTAGTTCATTGTCTTGATCTTCAATCGCACAGCAGAAATAAAGGCTTGCATATCTGTAATAAAATAATCCTGATGTTAGCATAAGAACATGTACAAAATGAATGCACTTGAGATGTATTATGCTCTCAGTAGTCCTTCATACTCAAGTCCAGTAGACTGTTATGCTACATCAGCAGTCATACAAGCTCTACCAAAGAACTTTCAGCAGACATAGGACAGCAGACATACTCATGGGATCTGCCTCCTTGATTCAAGAAACACTTCAGTCTTTATCACTCTTCAGTTGATGGAATTAAGAGGTAATTGGAAATGGAAATGCATTTGGGATTTTTTTGGCCTCCTGGCAGAATTCTGGGGCAATTTTTTTTTTCCTACTATCTGTAATATCCAAACACTGGTATACTAATTAACAGATTCAATCTTAAATTTTTATCACAAAAGCCACACACTAAGATAATAAAAACTACAGAAAATACCCTGGGAAAGATAAATTGAACTAACGATTAGAATTTGGTCTTTACAGAGAATTTAACAAATGCCCCAAAAACTCCAAAATTAATACTAATGTCATATACCCCAATTGCTACAAAGTCAACAACTCAATCACTACCAACTATCCTGGTATAAGGCTAACAAGACACCATCATCTGGTTTCTAGCAATCCACTGCCACCTTGGAAGACAGGGAATTCTTTATTTAAGATATCTTGGCTTGCCACTTTAACAAAAAGACCATTCAATTCTGCTATGCTCTACCATACTCTTAAGTCATGTGTAAAAAAAAAAAAGCTGATTAAAAAAAAACAAACCAGAAATGAAAGCTGAATTTTTAAGTGCTAAAACCATATGCTATACAGACACACATGGCACAACTGAGATTTCAAGTCACACCTCTTGTAACTGATAATTTACAGGAAACAGAAACAGCTTTTGTTTACCTACTCAGAACAACTGGCCACATTAAGCACACAGTATCCAGCCCTACTGAAAAAAGAAGCCATTCAGATATGAATGCCAAATTTAAGATATGCATTTGTTTCCCATGCACAGAGAGATACAGACCTTTTAAACGTTATGCATATTTTATAAGCTGGGACTTTGTAAGCCCACAAAGAAATTGTCAGGGTTTGGGCTAGAAGTCTGGCCAAGAAAAAAAGTTGCATTTTTTAGTACGTTCAAATTTGCTCACCTAGCACCATTTGTGATCCGAACACTCCGCCGCCTCCACCCCCCCCCCCCCAGCTCTGAGTCAAATTGCTATGGCTTCATTGTTAAAACTTCCCAGAATAAGTTTTGAATAAGAGTTTTAAACTATTTTAACAAAATTACTGCCTGCCAATTCTTCCATCCTACCACAAAACTTTGGGGGGAGGGAAGAGAGGAAGACACCTCCATTGAAGCACTTAACACTAAATCCCTGCTCTTTCATCTCCTCACCATAGGGACTTGTCAGCCCATCAGAAATCCTATCTGAGCACAGTTCTTTTGATTTTACATTGTTGTGTTTGTGCCTCACTAATTTTTCAACTAGCCTGCAAGATGCAATTTGTATAAGGCATCTTTTAGACAAAGCTATTTTAAAAAGTATTGCAAAGTGATGCTATAAAGAAAAAACATTTTCAAATCTACTGAGGAATTTAGAAGTCAAACTCCAACTTACTGTATTTCATTGTAGAGAAAGAGCTTTGGTGCATTAGTTGACATTTGCACTAATTACCAGCACTCAGGCCAGATCCATCTTTTCTTCATATAGCTTTCTTTATATTCAGATGAGCAGCACTAATTATAAAGTGTAGTTAAACTGTTCCTTTACAGTGCTTAAGCACAACTTTAAACACATGCCAGGAAACATTACCAAATTTAAATCAAATATTTGAATTTTATCCACATAAAACAGTCCTTTTGTGCTTCCACATTACTTATGAATCTCTTTTGATGAACAGAACTACTTTATGCAAATAACCACAAAGAAGAGGGGGGATGGGGATAGAAGGGAGAGATTACCTAACATAAAGTACTTTCCCAGAAAGGTGTCTGCTCTCAGCATCCTCATTTAAAAGAAAACATAGCATACTTTTGAAAGACTTTATTTGGCAGCTAGTGAGCAGACTACACATTCAAGCTCTGCCAACTGCAGTTTTGGCAAAAGAATACCAAGAAACAAAAACTACACAGTGGGCATCTTAACATGAAAGGGAGGCCTGGCTATCTATCATTATATGCAGAGAATATTTTTCCAAGTATTTTCTAAGTAGCAACCGTAACTAATGGATCACTACTCAACAAAAGAAAATAAATGCAGATTCATTAAGCCTATATGGCAAATAATGTTAGACTATAAACAAGTCAGCCATCACTGCAAAGGGCATGAGCATACTACTAAGGTATACCTTTCTTCAGATGCAAATTCTCAAAGACAACAGTTTAATATCAATTTTCTTTTGCAGGCCAGGGCTTCATAAAAAAGCATCCACATCTAGTCTACTGCAGATAAACTAGAGGTTTTGCCAAGTATAGAAGCTTACATGGAGAATGCCCTACAGAGACAATTAGATTATGGTGCTAAAGGCTGAAGAAAGATTTCTGCTCTGCAGAAATGCTGTTTTCCCCTACTGAGCCCGACATAAACCTGCCTTCCGTATGCACCCATTGAAAAGACAAATTTTTATGGTAAAGTATGCCACATCACACAAAAGCAAATCTAGTGCAGTCTGTAAGAAACATTCTGCCCTATTTTCTTCCACTTGCTATTGTGTTTTGTTTGGGGATTTGGTCTTTTTTTTCTTGGTTGGTTTGAGGTTTTTTTTGTTCTTGTGTTGGGTTGGATTTGTTTTGTTTTCCCTTTTCTCTCTCAGCAGGTGTCTTCATACACAAGTTAGGTGCTTACATTCATTTAGGGAAATATTTTATGACAGAACTCCCTCCACTTGTTAGACATGGAAGCAAACACAGAAACCCCCAGAAGAGCTTGGGGAAAAAAAAAAAAAAACAACTAAAAATCCAATGTGGAGTAAATAAAAAGGAAACACAAGAGGCATATGAATACTTTTACAAACTCTTGCCTTCAGACAGATTACTTTAGAGAGATTTTTTTGCAACACGAAACAAATTCATGAACCTACCCCTCAACAGCTGCAATAGTTCAGCAGCAAGAAGCCTCATGATTAGCAGGCAAAGCTTCAGCAGAGTTCTCTGCTACTGCTCTACTCGCAACAAGGTTCAGTAACTCTGCTGGGAGATCAGGTCACTGAGTGCAGAGCATAACTGATTAAACCCTATCAGTTCAGTGGTATTCTCCTATTAGCTGAGAGAACGCCTACTTGAAACCAGCCCTGGAAGTCTGTCACCAGGCAAAGCTACAAGCAAGCCAGAAGTCTGTCAGTATCTGAAGTCACTTTGCACATAGATCCCAACTGCAGAAATTTAAAGCTTACAGAGTTTGACAGGAGCAGAAATGAAATGCAAATGACAACCAAGCTGCCTTTAAAAGGCAGGCAGGTGCTTACAGGAGCCCAAGAATCTGTTGTTTGATGATAGCTGTTGACCCAATGAAAACTGGGACAGCTAGTAAGTTGTGACTGGTAGAAGATTCTATTTCTCCTCCAAAAAAAACTCACATTTGTTTGATGAAACAAGTTCTGAGCATTTACGACAGGCAGATCAGTCACTATTCAGTTATAGAGAGATTAACAATACCACTACTGAAATTAAGCATTTTTTTTTTTTACAGTTTCTCATTTCAGCAAGGCTATACCCCCCAGTAAGTTTAGAAATGAACAAAAACTTGGTACTGCTAATCATCTAAGAATTTTTTTCTCAATACCAAGGTCCTCTTAGTGACGCATGAACTGGAATTCTGTATAAAGAAGGCCTGATTAAGTTAAAATAATCAAACCCAAGTACCTAATTCACTATAATTGCATTCAGTTTTACACAGTCACCTAATTAACATCACAGTGATACTTTTAACAGATACAACTGGCAGCTAAGATGTACATAGACAGTGATTATGTCAACTGCTGGGCACATAACATACCACTAGCCACAGGCCTGCACCTTAGATTCATAATACTTTAAGAGGCACACTACTTAAAGAATAGTGTCTTTTGTTGGGGTGGAGGGGGGAAGGAAGGGAGGGAGGGTGGGGGTCAGGAGGGGACAGAGGGATGGGACAGTTGAAAAGAAAAGCTTTAGAACTTAGTTTTCCAGAAGTCTTTAACATAACCTATTTTAAAGTATAAGACATTTGCCACAACATTAAGAGCAGCACAAGCTAAAGTTTTATAACTTCATACTGCAAACATATAAAAGCAAAGGCAAAAACCTTAATCAAATTATTAAACAACAATAAGCAAGCCTCACGTTAGCCAAATATTAACAAAGTGAAATTTATATAAAAATCAGCTATTCTGCAATTCCAATTTTGACTGCATACCACCAGAAGCTAAAATAGTGACCAGCTGACATCTGGGGGGGGGGGTGGGGGTGGGGGGGGTGGAAATCACATCCTATCTTAAGTTCCTTTTTTCAGTAAAACTACAAATTTTAGCATTTAACACATTTCTCTGCCACAAGCAGACAGCTGCATGAATTTCTAACCTGTATGCACCAGTACCACTACAGCTAGTTCTTAGAAGGACAAAACATGAAGAGTGATCATCAACTGTGTTTGCTAAGTTTCTAATCAGCTGTCTGCAGATGTCTCCCTCGCTATTTTCATAAAGTGAAATTGTTGTTGACTTCCCATATTTGAATTTCTTTTTTTTTTTACTCAGCAAGTCACTTCAAATCTCCGTCTCCTGAAGTTAAACACTCATGCCCTTTTCCAATCTTCCAGTGTCTACTAGCCAGACAAACTCTCTTCCAAACCAGCTACAGAGTACATACATCCCAACTCACAACCACATAAAAAGCAGGGCACCTTTTCATCTGACCCTAGTCTGCAACCGTTATCAATGCTACATGTGTGAAACTAAAGAAAATAAATCACACACATTCAGATGGATTTTAAAACAGTTCTATTTTCTTGAAGTTTCATTCAGAAAGCAAACTAAGGATGACACGTTAGAGAGCTAAGGAGGCTAATCAAAATAGCCCAGCTTTCTTGATAAACACTAAGTATCAAGGCAGCAAAACCTACTGGCTTGCCAATTTTGCATTTCAGTTCATTCTGTTCTTGAAAATAGGTACATCAATGCAACCCTTGAGTACACTTCTAAATAATGGCAACAATTCTCTGAGCTGCAATATCTAGATCAATTCTCTCACATGTCGACAGTAACTACACTCTAAAAACAAAAAGAGCACATCAATTTCAGCACTTTCAGACTCTTAATAGCATCACATGCAACATATACAATCGCACTATGCACATACTTTTCTAGTTTATATTGAAAAACATTTGCAACAGAAGTTCAGATCTTTCCCAATAATGGATTGGACAAGAACAGATCCCAGGAGATACTCAAGAGCCTTTTGTCTGTGAGCAACTGGGAACACTTTTTGCAGTTTCACAAACCATGCAAAACTCACGCAGATGTGTTTCTCTTTTAGCCACCCACCCTTCAGAATGTATTAGGCTTTGACTATCATAACCGTCTTTTGGGGATTATATAATTTTGTCTTATAACTGATCTCTCTTTTCAAAGAAATCATACTAGCTTGTACTCATCACCTTTAATGCCAATGTGATGAGTGGAAAAAATCCCACTAACCTAAAAGCTGTAAATGTTATCAGATACAAGAATCTAAACTATCGCCTCTTATACTTAGTCCTTCTGATGATGTTTTAGTCTAACGGAACATGCCGAAAAAGCAGAAGTAAAGACTGGAGATGTTTATTAGCTTGATACAAGCTGATCTTAACAAGATTTCATAGGCTAACTGTGCCAGATTGTTTTGCACAGTGAAGTAAGTAAGCTACGGCAGTCAGCTGTGCACATCAGCAGTCTAGCAGACGGGCTACAGTCTACGTCCAGCCCAAAATGGTCTAGGATAAATCTCCCAGCAAATTTCTGGGAGAAAAAGACTGGGCAAGGGAGGGAACAGACTGGCTTACTCATGCTAAATTTTTCTGATTTAGTCCAAAAAAAGCCCAGCTAAAGAAGCACTTGTAGGCATTAGAACTCAAGCACCCACAGCATTCAAGTAAGCTTGCCTACATGCATGTACAAGAAGTTTTGTTAGAAAATCAAGAGGCTGAAATAAAAACTATCTATGCTTTCAAAACAGCCTTATGCATTGTTCCTCCTTTTTCCTCCTCCTTGTTAAAGAGCTACATGCATTAGAATGAATGACATTCATGGGCATGAAGTTCCATGCAACAACATATATACGAAACAGGACTTAAACCTCTAAGCCTTTTTAATTCTACGCATTTGGTACACTAGGAAAGAATTATAAACTCTTCATTTCACCTCTAGTCCTCTCTGCCTTACCTATAGAGAGGATATAATAATATTTATTGTAGGGCACAAATCATTTAGTATCTCAAAGAGGGAAATACAAACGCACAAACCTTCTAGGGGAGATAACTCAAGATTTCATAGCACCAGCTTTAGCTGGAAGAGATTCAGCCTACCAAATCAGGATGAGGATTACATTCTAAAGATCAGCACAAAACTAAAAAATGCTTTTAAGATACTCCTAGAAAAGTTAGGGAACAACTGAGAAATGAAACTACTGCAAAAAAAAATTATACATTACTTCCATCAGAAGAAAGCTAGCCATGATTTGTTCAATTAGGAGAAATGCCTTTTTGTATACACAGAAAAAACAAAATTAAAGAAATGACAAAAAACCAAACTGGGTAATCGCAAAAATTATTCCTTATTTCTATAAGCCTTTAAAAGCAAGCTACATTTTCAGGCGATTTATGAAGTCACTGACTTATGAAATTCAGTTTTTCTTTACCATGTATTAAACCTCACATGCTTCATATTTGTAAGCATTTACATACTGCGTGAATCTCAATGGAGAACCAAGACTCCACCACTCCTTCTGGAAGTAGAAGGAAACCTCATTTCTTCAGCACATTTCTAAACGCATGAATGATTTTCCACATATGAATGATTCCTAGTTGGTTATCAAATTAGATTCAAGGGAGAAGTCAGTGTTCTCCATAACCAGCAGAAGCAAAGAAAAAAACAACAAAACAAAACCAAAAACCACATCAACAACAAAAATCAACCTTCATTATTTGCTTGCTACTTATTACGTTGTTTGTCACGTAAGGCAATTACAAGGTTAGTGAGACAGAATAACCTTTTGTAGACAATCTTCAGGTCTCTCCATTCCAGGAAGCTGCACATTTTCGGCTTGCGGGCTAATACTGTTTGAACAAGTTCCCTTGTGATTTTCTTCTTTTCTTTGTCAGATAATGGGACATACCACTTCTGGAGTCTCAGTTTCCCCTGGCGACTAAAAAGCAACATAAACTGCATCTGTTGAATTGGGGGGGAGGGGGGGGACAGGGAGAAAAGAAGGGGGGGGTAAAAAAAGGTTACTCTCAGTCTTAGTTCTAAAAGGATTTATGCGAGAAAAAGCAAGCAGGAAGCAAGATAGCCATCGAAAACTGCAACCATGTTATGTATTTCTATAGCCATGGCAGACGTTACACAAGATTGGGAGTACCAATAACACAAAGGATTCTGCTGAATAAGGTCAGTGATAGCAAAGATAGCAGAAAGCACACACAAGTTTCGTAAACTGATGTCTTCTGACATCAGTTTCTACACCAAGTAGCAAGCGAATACACCCAAATTTCAGACAACAATATCCAGCACTGTTGCGGTTGCATTTACATTTACTACAGAAAATGACAAAAAAAACACACAAAACAAACCCCAAAAACCCAGCACAGCAGTCTCCTCAAATACCCAAATTCATTTTGAATTCACCGGATTAGAGGTTTACGGCAGGAGCAATTTGCACTTAAAATCTTTCTGAAAAGCCTCAGAATACTTTAAAAGACATTAAACCTCCCAACGGAGAGTCCTACGGCACAGAAAAGCCTAGTCTTTCCACACATTACACAAAAGGAGTTGAGATTAAGTGCTTTCCCTGCGATCCTATGTTCAGGTCTCGCTTCCTCTGAAGGAGTGATGCTGCAATTATAAGAGGAACTTGCCGACTGTGTTTTCCAGCAGCTATAACATTAAAGGAAATTACTTTTTTCTTTTTCTCTTTCCGCTCAAAGTTGTTTCGAGCTCGTGAAGTTTCCCAGGCAATGACAGACGTGAAATACGACGAGAAAGCCCAGCCTAGTCCCGGATGACAACTCCGACCAGCGCCAAGCACAGACAAGAGGCGGCAGCGGCGGCTCGAAGCCCGGTGATGCCGGGGCGCTCCCTCCGCGGGGACAACCCTCCGCGCCCGCGGTCTCCTCCACCCGCCGCCACAACACTCCCCTGCCTCAGGCGACCCTCCCTTCGACCCCGCGATACGCTGCCGGCCGCCGAGTTATGGGCCAGGCCCGCCCCGCGAGGAGACCAGCGCCCACCGGCCGAGGGGCAGCCGACGCCCGTCCCAGCTTGGGGCGCGGAGCTGGGCAGGAAGCAGCGCCTTGTTCGCCACAGCACCTCTTTATGGTGTGGAGCGGCAGGAGGACGAGGAGCCGCCGCCGGCCGCCCCCTCCCTCGGTCGCTACTGGCTGCTGCCGGGGCGGGCTGGAAAGAAGGAGGTCCCGCAATCTAGGGTACGAACAGCTCCTGCGTCCCGCCGCACCCCGACGCTGTAAGGGAGGGGAGCCCGCCTCCACGCCACTGTGCTCACCGTGTCCTGGGGGGGGAGAAAGAACGAGAAAAAGAAGGAGAAGAAAGAAGAAGAGAAAACAGCGGCTCCGCTATCCAGACCGCTACCGCTGTTACCACCGCGGCTGCCGAGCGGGACTGACGGCAGGGGAGATACCGCCAGCGCCAGCGCGCGCACCCACCCCTTCCACGGCCAGCCCCTCTTACCCCCCCCACCCCACGCCCGCTCGGGGAGGTCGGGGCGGGGCCGGACTCGCGGGAGGTGCTCGCGGGCGGGGGGCGTGGCAACGCAGGAAAGGGGAGGGGCCAGGCTGTGCCGCCGTTTGTACACCCCCCCACCTTCTCGCAATATAAAACTTTATTAGCTCGTCGGCTCCGCGTGGGGAGGGGGGTTTGGTGGTGGGGCACGACACCAGCACATGCGCAGTGCGGCGAGTCAAGGGGCGGGACCTGAGGGAGCTCGCCGCCACCCAATCAGGGAGCTCAGTGCAGAGGAGGGAGGGAGGAGCAAAGCACGTTTATTGACCAATGAGAGCGAGGAGCAGGCGGCGAAGGGAGGAGCTGGCAGGGGCGGTAGGAGGGGCTGGGGCAGAAGGCGCGGTTAGAGACCTTAATTTGCGTGGCCCGAATTGGGATAGGGCGAGAGCCGACGAGGCAACAGCCAACCGGGAAGGGTAACTACAGATAGCGGTCTCTCCAGCAGCCAATGGGCTGGCGAGGCACGGAGTCGGGAAATGACATCAGTCAATTAGGCGCCCGGAGATGTAAGGCTCTCCTCCCCGGGGTCGGCCGCATCGCGCTTGCGCCGCGTCGTGTTTCCCTCCAGCACGTGCGCCCCCCGCCTGGGGGCGGGCGGAAGAGCACGGCGGCAGAGGCGGGTCTGGGCGCTGATTGAGCCTTTTCGTGAGGCGGGCAGCCGAGTTCCCTCCCCGCTGCGGGTGCGCCGGCGTGTGCGGAGCAGAACCGGGGCAGGTGGCACCGTCTTTCACCGGGAAGCTTTCCCTCAAAGTCACCTTGCTTGGTTGGCAGGATGGGCCCCCGTTATGTGTTCAGCGGTGTTGTGTTTCCCAAATGCAATCGGGTTTTATTCCTGTGCAGCTGGAGAGGTTTTCGTGCCCGAACAGCTTGATTTTGTGGTTTGGTTGGGTTTTGGTGAGTTTGTTGGAGAGATGATTTAGGTGAAATTTTAGTTGAAAGAAACACAAGAGATGTGTCTCTTTGGGCCAAAATTGAGGCAGCTTTACTTGTAAGTATTTTAAGGACCTAATGCTCTCTACATCGCTGGTGCTCATCCCTGTCCTTCCCCACCCCAGCGGTATTAAAGGTGGCAATAATGAGGAAAGATCACTTCGAACACCAGATCCTTTCATGGTGTGATGGGATTACAGGAGAAGATTGTGCTCGCTCTGTAGCTCTCCATTAGGAGTAGCTCCAAGTGCTTTGGGATATGTCATGCTTTTATTTTTATTATTGATACTTAAAAGCCTGTTGTTCTGGCTGCCAAACAGCTGTGTCAGCAGAAACCAGTGCTGGAAATGCTTTTGTGTAAAAATATGGATAGTCTGAGAGGTAAGCCAGTTTTTCTGGCATTTCAAGGAATTCTGTAATCAATTGTACTTGGGGAAAACTGCAACTATCTTTCCCTTTTTACAGCAGAGGTTATAACTCTTAGCCAAAAGTGACATGAGGTTCATGAAACCAAACTGAATGGATAAGGCAACTGCAATATTAGAGTTCATGTAGAATGTGAGAGCTACTGATGTTAGGGGCTTGTTCCTGTCATGCTTAATGTTTGTTTAGCAGCCATCTTGTTCTCATTTGAACTTACCTGTCACCAAGTGTAACAGATATGTGTGGATCTGTTACTTCGTAGAGCCTTCCTTTATACCAGTGTATTATTTTGTCCTTTGTGGTTGCCACGCATTGCAGCTCCCGCTTGTTTCTTGTGATCCTTTTCCATGATCTAAAATATCCTGTTGTTCAGAAAGCTTTCATAAAGTATCTCTTTCCTAATCTGCACTTCACTGTTCTTGAGTTTAGCATCACATATCCCGTGAGTTCTGTGCTAAAAGTGCATGTGCACTGTGGGTGCTTCTGGATCTTAAGCCAACTTTTATTTCTCTTCATCAGAGCTACTTCAAGTATGCAAGTATGTTAGCATCATTATGGTAATGGAAGTTCAGAAGTTAATTTCTGAAGTAGTTGCACCAGACCTGTATTTTGATTTCTCTCTTCCCAGCTCAATGAAATATTTATGCAATATGAATCAAACCACATACTCTACAAATGCTTAGTTTAGTGAAATCAGGAGAACTACCCAGATGGTTCAAGAAATGTATGTAATTTGTTGACATAGAGTCTCAGAGCTCCTCTTTTTTTTTTTTTGACTCTATTTTTATTTTTTCTTTTTTTTTTTTTGTCAGATTTCCTGCTTACTTTCAGTTTCTGGTTTCATCCAGTGACACAAGGGCAATTGCTCTACTGTTTTTCCCCTTCCTCTGTTACTTGGCTGGATTACTTCAGGCTTTAACCTGGGGTTTCTTAATTAAAACTCCTTCTGGTCTGAATCACTCTGACATATGCAGCTTCAGGTGGTCTCATAAAGCATGTGATACCAGTGGTATGTCAGTCATGGTGGGAACTGTGTCTAGCTGTGTCTAACTCAGCTGAAGTTTTGTCTTCCTCAGCCTGTCCTGCGTGTCCTCATCACTGTTCCAGGCAGGGGATGCTATTTTATCTAGTCTACCCAGATTGCCACTTACATGATCATTCCTTAACTCATTTCTCTCAAAATGACTCTGCTTACTTTAACCAGTTTAAGGTGCAATTCTGTGGCTGTTTCAAATTATGTAAACCCTGACTTCTCCTACCCTGTCCTTCCATTCCCAGCTTCATGTTCTGATGTCTTTTTCTGTGCTGGTACTTAGCTGCGTATCACACAGGGCATCCTAATGAGGCAGCTTTTGGCTGTACAGGTGAGGATACAATAACCGGGTTAGTTGGTTTCAGGATTGAGTACCTCTGTCGGGAGGGCAGTGGCAAACAGAGGTAATGCTGTCCTTTCTGTTTGTGCTGTTTCTTTTGGGAACTTTAGGAGACTTGCTGTTTGCATTTTTTTTCTTGCAGTTTGTACTAATACGCCTCTTTATACTGACTCCATTTGTTCCTGTAAGAAATTATCCTGTCACCTGTTGAACTAGCAATATACTGAACTAGCTGTAATTATCAAATTGATAAAGATACACATGATGCTTAAAACAATAATATAATAACCTTTGAGCATTCCACAGACCCGTCACAATGCAAATGTCATGCAGTCTAATTTTACACATGACACAGCGAGTCTTCTGTTCATTAGCGTTTGTTTTTTGTCCTAAATGTGGCTTTAACAAGATGGATTTTAAAGAATGAACTCAGTATATTGGTTTCTCAGCCTTGGTTGATAACCCCCAGGTTTAGTATGGATGGATTTTTTTTAATTGCTACACTTGTAAAATCCTAGTTTTTCCATTTTAGAGGTAAGGCAAGTCTTCAGGGGGTATATCCATTGATCATAAGACATTTGGGGTCCCCAGCCAAGAGTTTGTTCTGTAGGTTATTTCCAGCATAACTTGGGACACAGAAAAGACTGCCTCAAGCTGGGGAAAGAGGGAGGAAGCTTATATCAAATGAGATTAAATTTGCCTGGTATGGTTTATGTCAGTTCTTAAGGGTTTTTGTTTGCTTGATTGGTTGCTTGGGTGTGTTTTTTTGTTTGTTTTTCATTAACTGGGTTATAGTAGGTTTGTCTGTGTTACTGGGTCTTACAAAAAATGTAGTAAAGCAAACATCCTGACATTTGTCACTTAATGCACGGTGTTAGTGCCAAATCTGAAGCCCCTAAAAGAATTCTGTTGTGTTTTTACTCTTAGCTAAAATGATGGATAAACCAAGAGGCTTTTATAATATGAACTATTAATTCTAATGGGAAATTCGTTTACTGAATATTAACAGCATTTTTTTTTTTTTTTTTTTTCCCTTTCAGGAAAGTAACCCAGTATTTAGTAGAGAAAGGCTTTGTTTCTACCTCCCTTTCAACCATCTCAGTACTTTAAAGAGAAGGGCAACATTTTTTAAAAGTACATACTGTATCTCTCCACTAAAGTAGGCGGTGGATGTATGAGTGAGACTCATTTTATTGTTAATTTATCTTCATGATGCTCAATATCAGACTCCATTTTCATTGACTGAATAGCTGTGGAGTCATTATGAAGGCAATAAGAACTGAGCTACTAGCCTTGGAAGTGATTATTGCTAGATTTTTTTTCCTCTTAAGCCTCCAAACAGGATGTTGCATTATCGTATGCAGTTCTCTACCCTGATGTATTGTCTGAACACTGGCCAAACTATCAGTGCGCCGTTATGATTCATGTAGAACACTCAATCTCAGTGGAGCCAAAGTGAGTATACATGAGACCATAAATGACAGTTTTCATTGCTGAGCTCCTTTTTTTTTTTTACATGGAGCTCTCTCAATTAATTACTATTATTCCAATCTAGTAGTCTGATTGCTAGATGCTAGTAAATCATTGGATCATGCCTGGAATCCTAACCCATCTGTGTCTTCTGTGTAAGGGTTACAGGTTTGCCTGTGAGAGACTTCTGG